GAAGAATGATGACAAAAAAGCTCAAGGGTCATAAAATTTAGGTCGATGGAAAGGAAAGTGGTGCCTATTTATCGACCACCTACTATGTCCTGCAGCATGCTAATTTAATCCTCATGCCTACTCCATGATACGGTCACTGAGACTCAGAAAAAATTAAGCAACTCACTGAAGGTCAAAGGAACCTGGGTCACGGTGACTCTGAAATGTGTACTTTGAACCAGCTTCACCCATTCAAATCATTCTGTCTTTAGGGCTCTGCTTTGCTGTTTCTCTTCTAAGCATCCTGCAGAAACATACACCCTTCCTGGTTTTTAGTCATTACCAACTAAGGTGCACACTGAAGAAGCGTATTTCAACAGTGAAAAACAGTAAAAGTGGTCTTAGGACCAAAAAAAAAAAAAAATCCCTGAAACCCTACAAGGTCCTTGGACAAGAAAAGGGAGATGTGTAGTTCAGAAAGGCTAAAAATAAAAAGTATGCCCAAGTTCACCCAGTTAGTAAGTAACCCTGATTTAAGTCTCTTGTCATAAACTCATTCAGGAATCCCTGAGGAGTGAGGGTGGGGAATGAGAATTAAGCAAATTTGGTTACCTGGTCGGGAACTGTTTCTTTAGTCTAACATTTGGGGGATTCATTATACTTCAAATTTGTAAGTGATCTTGAGAATCTCTAACTCCTGTTCTTTCAGTTTTCATAAAGGCAAAGTGAGATCCGAAGATCTCGTACAGGTAAGAATTAAATTCCCAGTCACTTGAGCCTCAGATGAAAAGAGATCAAGTGATAGAGTGAAAAATGAATAGCAGCACAGTAATTATTATTATTATTATCATTATTATTATTATTTATTTTCAGTACTAAGGATGGAATGCAAGGCTTTTGCACTGAGCTGTATTTCCAGCCCCTCCCCTTTGTAAATTTTTTAAAATTTTGAGACAGGTTCTTATTAAGTGGCTAAGCTGTCCAGGCTGGCCTCAAGCTTGCAATCCTCCTGCCTCTGCCTCTTAGAGTGCTGGGAGATAAATTATTCCATATGGCGTAGCTCATTGATTAAAGTGGTTTATGAGGCAATGGTTGCAATTCATGTAATTTTGTGCTCTCCATTAAGAACAAGCAAATACATACAGGCATAATGTATGCATAAAGAGTGGGACTGGCCTGCACAATAATTGTAGGTTCAATGAATGGATGCATCCAAGGCTTTGCCAAATGTCCCCAATGCATTTGGAAACTGAAATCAGGAGTCTTAAGGATCTCCAAGAGACGGACTTGGTCCCTTCCTTTTCCTGGCTATCATAGAGAGAAGAAATTTGATTTCCTCAATTTTGTTTTTGTCCTTGACAGCAACGGTAGAATAAATAATATTTGTATAGCAACTATTTCATTTACAAAGTATTGTGCCCCTGAACGCCTTCAGAAAAATAAACCTGTGAAGTAGATATTCCCATTTTAGGGTAGAAGGGGGAATCTGAATGACATTACTGATGTAATTCAACATAGCTCTCTGTCTTTTGAATGGCAGCATTATGACTTAAGTAGGTAAGTTAAAGTTTTTGAAAATCAAACATAGTTTGCTTAGTAGATTCCTTGTCCCTGCATCATACACGCGAAATTCTTTTTCCTCCAGCCACTCTCTGAAGACACATTTAGGATATCATGTGATTCTCATTTATAACCAGAGAAACTGGGTTCAGACATTCTTGGGCTAAGACTCTACAGCAAGTTCTTCCCACATGAGAAAGATCTGAATCTGGGATCTCTTGTTTTCAGAATGGTGTCATAATCCTCACACACTGCATTCCAGCTTTTCTGGAGGGGAGGTCTGAGTCATTTGCTCATCTTACACATCTTTGTATTTTTACCAGCACACACTCACCCCTGGTCTTGTCTCTCCCTGAAGCATGGAGCCAGGATCCCGGCTAAGAATGTGCAGCAGCCCTGTGGAACAGGAGCAACCGGTGGGAAGAAAGTCACAAGTTAGTGGCGTTAATCCTACTCAGGCTTCCAGGACTCAGTCCACATTGCAAACCTCACACAGCATAGTTTTATTGCTACATTTTTTGAACAGACTGGTAACTAATAATTTGTAAGCCACCCTTGCTAGCTCATTTTGACGTATTAAGCACTTGGAGGGGGAAAAAAAAGAACTATTTTGCCATAAGGGGGAGCTTGTGAGTTCCATAAAGAGGGGGGAAAAGAAAAAAAAAATCACATATACGCCCTAGTTCACAAACAGATCTTCAAAACACCAAATGGTCAGACCCTTACCTGTGACTTGCACAACGTCAGAGGACCTGAATCTCTTAGGTTGAACTTAGGGAAATTAGTATTTTTCTCTCATTGTTAATATACAATGAAAATAAATTTTAACAGTCAGTAGAATATTTGTAAGAATATACGGGGAATTGAGAGACTCAGTTCTGCTGGGTCTATAGCTCCTGAAAGGCAGATGTCCTGAGAAATGCCTTTCCTTGCTGTCTACTGCTAATTCCGTGTGTATCTGGGAAACAGCACTCAGGTTAGCTGAAGCCTGATGCTGGCAGCCTCACAGGGGGCTCAAGAAAGAGCGGGGACAGGGCGGCTCATCCTTGCATAACTTTAAGGAAATTCTAAGGGAAACAGAAAGGACAGGGAAGCAGAAGAGAAAGGGGAAAGAGGAAGAGGGAGAGGAATGGGGAGAAGGAATGAAGAGAGGGGAGGACTGCGTGAAAGAAGGAAAATGAGAAATGAAGGGAGAGGCAGAGACAGAGACAGAGACAGAGAGACACAGCGATAGAATGAGAATATTTTTGAAAAATCCGAGAATCAAGTTTCAAGACTATGTTCTATGGAAAGAGAAGAGGTTCACCGGCAAAGAGCAAAGGAGATCCTGAGAGAAGAGAGATGTTTCTCTCCAGCCAGGAGAGGAAAAACTAAAAATCATAAAAATAAGGGAGGGGGTGAAGAAGAGAATAAAACAAGCAAAACCAAACCAAAACAGGAATATGTGTCCGGAGCCGAAATGAGGAGGGCTGGGAGGGCGGTAAGGGGGTGTGGACAGCATTTCATTCAATTGTTACTTTAAAATTGTCTTCCTACAAGAAGGGGGGGTGGAGAAGCGGGAGTGAAGACCGGCGAAGTGGAGGCCGGCTGGGTAACTCGCCTCTCCACACTGATTGATTAGTCACGATCCCCTCAGTTTGAACAGGGACTCTTTCAATCGGGAAGGTGGAGCGCTCGGGAGCAGATTAGCATACGCTTGTTTACTCATCTTCTGAGGGATTTTTTTTCCCCTCTTTCCTTTCATTTTGTGAAGAAGGAGGGAGGGGAGGGGGGAGTGGGGGGAGAGGGGGCTGTGGCTTGTGTTATAAAGGGCGCAAAAAAAGAAGGCAACCAGCTGTTGGAGGGGGGAATAAGGCAGATAAAGGAGCGGGGAGAGGAATTAATTGCCAACCAGGAGGAGTTGGACTGTATTTTTCAAAGGTGGGGGGAGTGGAGCACACACCTTGAGGAGGAAAGCGAGAAAGAAAAGAAAAAAGCAAGTGGAAGGGGGGGCTCGCCCCAGAAGGTGAAGCAGCGGAGAAACTCGCGCGGAGGCTCCCAAAGCTGGCAGCTCCGGGCGGCGGTG